CTCCCTTATGAGACACTATGTCTCATATACTTGACGAAGGCTCTATGGAACTGGACTTTCCCATCAATAACTTCAGTCTAGCTTCTTCCAGACTTTGATCGGTCTTTTCTCATGCTCTTCCATCATTGTCCCCAATACAATGAAATTATGCAAGTAGACCAACACCATTAAGTAATTCATGTGTTCAGCCAGTGGTACACTTGAGTTCTCATGTTCAGAGTTTGAAAGTGCACAAATCATATCTTTCCTGTCTTCTTCTGTATCAATGCATGTGGAATCTAGTACTCTGTGTTGATGCTATTGATTAATAATCCCTTTAGGTGAATCTTGCATCTCCAATAATGCAACTTTTCCAGGTCACTCTCAAAAAAGGGCGGGAATTATTGATTTGAATTCTGTGTGATGCTCCTTGGACACACCCTACATTTCACTCATGTGGTGAGAACATGCCAATACTTGTTGTGAGTTTCTTCTTCAAGAGTTCCTTCCACTATTCAGGAACTGGAAGGTCACCAAAGTCAAATCTCTCTGAATCCACTTTGGAGCTGAAGGATTCAGTGCTCATGTGATGCTCTATGCCACCATTTGCTTCTGGTTTCTGATAAAAATTGTCACAGGAGACCTGGCTCATCAGGGTGTCTAGGTATCGAATTCCAGCTTGCTACCTGTGGTATTCTGCTAATACCTTGAATAGTTGGAGATGGTTCCAATAAATGTTAGCACGTCAGAGATATTCACTATGCCTGGATATACCAGAGTCAAAGTATCGTCCTTCTTGCTAAGATCTGTGACTTTTGCAGAGAATTTCTAACATACTGTAGCTCAAATATGGTTAGATGCTCTATTCTGTGCATAGGCTGCCAAGGTATTCTTTTGGAGATGGGTCTGAAAGAATGGCTAGATTATAATGCCTACCTGAAATCCTATTCAGCACAATAGGACCCAAAATAACTTCAGAACTTCCTCTGCACAAGATCCTATGAATCCTGGTGGAAATCATACATAAAAACTGGTGAAGAAGTCAAACTTAAGGTTTTCAGGGTCTGGGCTGACCTCTGTCCATGACCCTGTCTTACTTTCCTTAAACTGGCCTAATCTTATTCAACTACTAATAAATTAATTCCCAGTTCTCCACTTCAGAGCACTCAGGAGGTGAATGGGCATCTCTTCCTCCTTTCCTTTTTCTCTCTCCTTCCTGCTTCCCTTTCCTCTATTTCTCCATCCTCCCTCCTCCTGCTTCCTTCCTTCTTACCTTCCTTCTTTCCCTTCCTCCCTCTCTCCCTTCCTCCTCTCTCCCTCCCTCCCTCCCTCCCTCCCTCCCTCCCTTCCTTCCTTCCTTCCTTCCTTCCTTCCTTCCTTCCTTCCTTCCTTCCTTCCTTCCTTCCTTCCTTCCTTCCTTCCTTCCCTTCCTCCCTCTCTCCCTCCCTCCCTTCCTTCCTTCCTTCTTTCCCTCCTTTCCACACTCACCCCCTAATCTTGGTATGCATTCTAATGCTGTGATATCAAGACTCTGATTTCAAACAGTCTAGATAGAATCCTGATTCCATGTAGCTCTCCATTTATCTTCCTTATTTCTTCACATCAGCCACCTGTTTCCTGTAATGTCTCTATGTCATGTCCTATTCAGAATTCAAATGTTTCTTCACCAGATGGATTTGGCCACTCTCCTGAGAAGGACTGTAGTTTGCTTTAATGGAGTCCTTAGACTAGCTGGTATCCAGCCTCTCCCCTTCTCCAGGTGTTAACATTCCCTCAAATGTACATTTCATAGGATCTTCAGACAATCCTTCCTTTTGCAAGAAAGTCTTTAGTTTCATTTCTGTCACATCTTTTTCATTGAAGGGTTTAGTGACTAGTTTCTGGGTATTCTCTCCAACTTTGACTTTTCTAGGGATGCTATGGTATGCCAACCTGATTCAGGTAATTTAGGAAACCTAGAGAAGGCTCTTTCTGCCTCCATGCAATGCTTGGTAAGTACCTCATATCCTTCTTCTCCCTTGATCCCTACTGTTCTTTCACAGGGTCACACAAGGCTTCCTCAATAACTTTATTCTAGGTGCCAGAAGGTATTCCTAGTACCAAAAATCTTTCATGGGGATTCTGTTCAAATGCTTTATGCTAGCCAATTCTGTTAAAGATTTAACCCCCATGTTGTTCATTTTAGCTTAAGTTGTACTCCCAATGCACAAAGCAGTGCAACAGGTAGTGAAACTCAAGCAAATGAACAGGCATAATACTAAGTACGTATTTACCTTCAACATCCAATCTGAACACCATCTGTATTAAAAATACAATGACACACAATAGTTCTGTTCAGAAAGGAATTCCCAGTAGGAAAAATCCAAAGCAAAACAAAACAAAGAAAAAAATTTGTCTAAAAATGGCAAAATTTCTTCCAAATTAAATTCCAGGAAAATCTGCAGGCTTCTTATAAGCAGACTTTAAAAAAAACAACAAAACAAAACAGCTACATTTAAAAAGAATCCCATACAAACCCCCACATTTAACCACGGACGGTGGTACTGGTACTGACAGTCCCATGCTCAACCTAGCCGTTATGTACTTTGACCAACATCAAAGAGCGCTGTGGGGAAATGCCCTCTTGGGTTTCTTCTGACCCTTGTGCCATTTGTCTTCTTAGTTTAGGGATATGAAGTGTGTGGATTTACCCAACTTGATTCTTGTGGTTCACTCACACAATCCTACATTATTTCTTTTACTGTTGTTTCCATGGAGATGATCATACCAGTGTGGCGTTTAACTGTACATAATTCTTCACTCATAATCATAGAATAAAGAGACAAAAACACCCCCAGAGCCATCAAAATAACCACTGTATGGTCTTGGAACTTCTTCCAAATGCAAGAAGCCCCACATCTTTTAAGCCTGAATCCAAGACCCCAAACATAAGAGCTCAAGAAACAGTTCAGATGCTTTAATCCAAAGCTATACTTACAGGGAGGCAATAAACTGTGCCCTTCACAAACAACCCTCTTGGAAAGTTCATGTCCGGTCAGTTAAAGGGAGTCAGGACTTGAATTGCTCCAGCCAATCACATTTCCCAAATGCCTACTGCTCTGGCTGCATTGTTCTGGTCTCCCACTTCTGATAAATCCATTCAGAGCTCCCCTCACTAGTAGCACCCCCCCCCCCAATTATGGTCTTGTTGTGGGAAAGCAAAGGTGTTCATGGGGCCAGAAGTAGGCTTCCTCTGTACAGATGGGCACCTTGTCTTTCTCTGTCTTATTTCCCCATCTAAAAAAATCTCATGTTCCTACTTGCTTCTTTCGTTGTGTTGACCCCGATCCCCATCAGCTCTTGGGGTCTTTCTGCATGACTCCCATGAGTGGGCCCTACCCATAAGGTTGTATATTGAGTTGTATTAAAACCACTCATGGGAGTCATGGGGCTAATGGCTTCTTCTGTCTCCCTACACCCTGGGACAGAATACGGATGGAGTTACATGTCTTTTGCATTTATCACAGTGGCTATAAAAATACTGGTCAATAAGAAACTTATTGATTGACTACTGAGTGTGGTACTTGAAACATTCCTTGATGTCCCCTATTACTTCAACAGCCCGATTGTAAGCTCCTTTTCCAGCAGACATTCGTCTTCAACTATCTTTGTCCCTTATCTGCCCCATTTTACCTCCTATAGTGTGCTGGACAGAGCCAATCCTTGGTAAGTATGGCCCATAGACTGAAAAGGTTTGTTGTCATCCCAAAGTCTCTATATCTTGTGTACCTTCTCACTAGTTGAAAGGAGGGAGAAGCTGCAATGCTAACTGTGCAGAGTAAAAGGCAAAGTGTGACGATCCTTCGGGGGCAGCAGGGAATGTACCTGACAACCCAGGACGCTGTATCTTATCCTTTTACAGGTAGGAGAGGGAGCCAGTCAGGTCTATCTATGGAGGTGTGGTTAAATGCACGAATCCATGCCAGGGCAAATAGGGTTTTAGGACTGGGAAGGGAGAGTTTTCTTGTCGTAGGCTTCTGTTAGAGGCAAGCTGAGGGCCAACATCCTGTTAGTTCAAGTTCAAGGTTGGGATTCATGTAGAGAGGTGAGAAAACTGGGGGACAGGATGGGGAAGGGACTTTTAGAGGGGTGCATGGATTGGGATTTGGGAGGGTGAGGGATTTTTGGAGGAGTTTGTGGATTGAGATTGGGGTTTAAGGGGAGGGGATGGGGGGGCTCTTGGAGGGGTGGGTAAAGTAGGGGGTGGTAGGGTGAGGAGAGAAGATAAGGTAGCAGGGATAAGGTAAAAAGAGAAGCTGAGAAAGAAAATAGTGAGTAAAATAATATGGAGGAAAATTCACAAATAGTAATTACAACCTTGAATGAAATGAGTACTCACAAGTCACAGAACAGTTATCAAAAGAAGGTTGCTTTGCCCCAACACAGCAAAGATATGCATCAAGAATATAATGGCACTTGGCTTCTCTGGACTCAATTCCTCCTTATCTTCATATGGAAATATTGGGTCAGGAAGTCAGTGCATGATGACTTGTACGGTTTTCAGAAATCTATCAAGTTGGAGAGGCCCCAGCTCCAAACAGGTGGAATTTTTCAATGATTTTAGGTGAGTAGGGATATCAATCAATCAAATACCAAGGACAATTGTGTTACCTTTTAGGGAAAACTAATCCCTATTTCAGAGAAATGACATCCCACCACTATATGACCTTTACCTCATTCCCCTCCTTCAGCCCTTATCCATCAGCTCACTTTAATAGTCAAAGTAACACGCACAATTATGCCCCACTGACATATTTTTACCTCCTGTACCCTGGCTGTCCTGATGCCACATGACTTTGGCCTTTAGGCAGAGGCGGGATGATGAATGCCCCAAACATCATCACTTGCATAGCTCATAATTTCTGGGTTATTACTCTTCCCTGTTCAGGTGTAGGTACCACTTCATCCCTGGTGGAAAGACCCCTGCGGCATAGCAACTAAGTTGAAAGACAACTAGATTAAATAGAATGGAGAAATATTACCCTGATATTACTTTCACGACACTTTTCAATCTTTCTTTGAAGTCTCCTAGAAGGAAAAAAAAATAAAAAGAGATAATGTTGAGAAATCATCTTTCTTTCCATTAATAAAAAACCATGTTGTCATATATGTGGGAATGGGGGTGGGGAGGACATACTTATTATTATAATTTTTATCTATCAGATTGTCAGGCAGTAGTCAATGCTGTGATCCATTTAATGATCTTTTTAAAATGATTAAGTTGGAAAGTTTCTCTCAAAAAGTAATTAGGGCCTGATGAGAAGATGTTCTTCAAGAAATGATGGGCATCTCAAAGGCAAAGTCATTTTTCTTTCCCATTTGGTCATCAGGAGGGGCTCTCTTCTTCTATCACCAGATGATGGGCTTTCTGGGCTGTGGGAAATGCCCAGGATGCAAATTCTTTTCTTAAAGCCTAGAATGTTGGGTTGGTTTTTTTTATGTTGTAGTTGTTGATGACCTGAGTCTCTGCCCTGGCTACATCACGAATTTCTTGTACATGTGAAATAACATGTAATATGTATGGGCCCACTGCTATAAATCAAAGAGGCATAACTTTAGATCTGGAAGGGAATTTAGAGGTCACCTTATTGTAGTTGAAAGTCTCCATAGGTGTTGTCTCCTCCATTAGAAGGTCAGAGTAAGGAGTGTCTTACTTTTCTATTTGTTTCCCCATCACTTAGCACAATGCTTTGCATATAATAGCACTTAATAAATGATTCATTCATTCATTCATTCATTCATGTAATTATCTCTTTCATTTTAGGCATAAGGCCATGACAAGAAAAGTGACTTGTCTAAGGTCATATGAGTAGTAAGATAACTAAGATGTGAACCCATGTCCTCTGCCTATGGATTCAGTGCTCTCTCCACTATACCATGGCTGCCTCTCCATAAACTCCTTCCTTTTTGTGTCAAGGAGGAAACATTAATTAGTTCAGTATAGGTTAGGGCAGCTAGATGGTGCTATAGTGCATAGAGAGTCAGACCTGAAATCAGGAATACTCATCTTCCCTGAATTCAAACTGGCCTCAGACACTTACTGGCTGTGTGACCCTGGACAAGTCACTTAACCCTGCTTGCTTCAGTTCCTTCATCTGTAAAATGATCTGGAGAAGGAAATGACAAACCACTCCAGTATCTTTGCCAAGAAAACCCCAGATGGGGTCATGAAGAGTCAGAATGACTAAAAAGATTGAACAACAACAAAAACAACAATAGGTTAGGAAACCTGAGAATTGTTCAAGTCACGAACTCTTAACCACCTGAACCTTGTTTCGTCTTTTCTGTAAACACTCAGGAAAAGCACACTTGTGGTTGTGAGTGTGCAGTTGTTGTCTGTCCTTCGTTTTTGTAAAGGACATTTTCCCATGATGTCATTACTTGCACATGAATTATGGGGCGATCAGGGCGGACAGATGCTGGGTAGGACAGCCAGTGACAATGGGGCCTTTGAGGAGACTTAAGGCACATCACGACAGGACAGAGTATATGCTTTAGTTGGCTTAGCTACATTGGTCCAGAGAAAGTAATTTCCACAGGCAAAGGTTTCCTTGGACAGCTCAAGAAGGAGCTGGAAAGCTAGGGTTCAAGGGGTGGGCTTAAGACAGAAGCCCTTCTACCTCAACTAATTAATGTTTTAAATATCCTTGGGAAGTTGTAGGAGAGCAGGTGTTATTCACTATGTTTCACCTAGAGAAACTATTAGGTACCCAGAATGCTGTGTGATCTTGGGTCAGCTATTTGACCTCTCCAAACCTCAGTTTCTTCATCTGAAAAATGAAAAGATTGAGTTAGGTGATCTTTAAATTCTCTTCCATTTCTAATACTCAAGGAATCCATAACTTGTCTCTGTGTGCTACTGTTCCCTTTATTCTTCATAGCACTACAAGTCAATTTATCAAGTCAATTTATCTCCTGTTTCTTTCCATTACCCTTTGCTAGTTATTATTATCATGATCAATATTACTAATTATTATTATCATTGTTGGTATTAGTGTAGTGGATAGCATCCTAGACTCAGAATCAGAAAGACCTGGGATCAAATCCTGCTTCTGACAGTTATTAGCTGTGTGATTAGACAAGCCACAACTTTACTCAACCCCAGGAAGCTCTTTAAAACTATGTTAGAGAAGTATTGAGATCTGCATCAATGAAAGGAGCACCCTACCCTAGGTGTTCCTGTGCTAGTAAATGGGTCTCAGGCATAATGTACCTGGACTTCAATAGAACATTGGCAAATACTTTTGTGATATTTAAGCAGATAAAAGAGAGTGTAGGTTTAAATAATAATATCAATAGGTAAATCTGGAACTGATTGGGTGATTGGTGATTAAGGATTGATGTCAACTCAGACAGAAGTCTTTGGTAGATTGCCACGCTTGCTCTATTCTTGGTCCTGTTCTCTTTGACATCATAATCCATGGCTTGGTTTAAGGCACTGATAGCAAGACAGCTCAATTTGTAGATGACACAGAGTCAGGAGGGATGTCAGAATTGGGCTCCAAAAAGATCTCAACAAATGGGATATATTTATTAAGATGATATTGAATAGGGACAAATATAACAATTGGGTTAAAATCAACTATATATGACCAGGATGGAGGTGATAGGGCTAGACAACAGTTCCTATCAAAAGGACCTTGAGGTTTTATTAAACTGCAAACTCAATAAAAGTTGATAGAGGGGCATGATAGCGAAAAAGTCTAATGTGATCTTACTATATGTTAATAGAAGCATAATACCTATAACAAGAGAAGTGACAGTCCTACTGTATTCTGTATTCTATCCTGGTCAGATCACATCTGGAATATGACATTTAGTTCTTGATCTTGCATTTTGGGAAAGGCATTGACAAGCTGGAAAATGTCAAAGTAAGGGTTACCAGAACCCCAAATGATACCATACAAGGATTGGCAGAAAGAACTGGGTATGATGTTTTGTCTGGAAAAAAGAAGAATTAAATAGAACTAGGTAAAAATGATAAAGAAGCAGACCTATATAAGCATCAGATTTCTATAGAGAGAGTCTATATAAGGGCCAGAGCTATGTAGAGTGTGTTCTATATAAGGGGCAGATATGTAGAGAAAACTCTATAGAAGGGTCAGATCTATATAGGATCTATATAGGGAAATCTATATAGGTAAAAGTCTATAGAAGGGTCAGAGCTATGTAGAGAATGGTCTATGTAAGGGTCAGATCTGGACAGAGTGCTCTCTCTACTTTCTCCACTGTACCATGGCTGCCTCTCCCTAAAGTAAGTGTGAGATCTGCATAGAGAGGAGTCTAAGGGTGAGATCTGTATAGAGAAGAATCTAAGGGTGAGATCTGTATGGGGTAGATCTATGTAGAAAACAGTCTATATAAGGGTGAGATCTGTAGAGAAGGATCTATTGAAGGGTCAGATCTATATAGAGAAAGGTCCATATAAAGGTCAGATTTGTATAGAGATGAGTCTATATAGTGAAGTCAGTATAGGGAAGCATCTATAATAAGGGTCAGAGCTATGCAGAGAAGGCTCTATATAAGGAAAAAATTCCTGGTAATTATAGCTGTCCCAAAGTAGAATCTTAGGAGGTAGTGAGTTTCCTGTCACTGTTGGTCTTCAAATGGAGGCTGGCTCTCTACTTTTTAGGGAAATTGTAGAGGGAATTCTTTCTTCAGAAATGGATTGGACTAGATGACGTCTGAGGTCCCTTCCAATTCTGAGATTCTACAATTCAAAATATCTCAGGAGGCCTTACTGTATAAAGGAAGGCTATGGTAAATCCTTTGGCAAGATCAAGAAACTTATCATAAATTCCTTCCCAACTTAATACGTTTTATAAATTGTGAAGACTTTTTTTTTTAGTACATATTGGATTTTTCCCTAGCAAGGCATAGCTAGATGTAGTTTTAAAGGCATTTTAATATTACCTACAGTTTATCAACCTCCTTTCCCTTACCAGTAAGACATTTATTTTTGAGGTTTCTGCTTTATATACAATTCTGGTCAGTTGACAGTCCTGTATTTGTCCTACTCCAGCAAGGGATCTATGTACAAAGATATGGTCCACAGGGGTATATGTTAAGAGTGCCTGATTCCACACTGTGCAGGAGAAAACCTCTGAATGCCATTTTTATGTTTTTGAATTAGGCTTGGAATGTAAGCAAGATGGATATTAGTATTCTGAGGATAAATTTCTGGCTTGCCCAGCTTTTCTCCCTTTCCATCTAACCCCCTGAAGTGATCAGGCTGACCTAGAGGCCATATCTATCTATATAATACTAATAGCCTTTGAATGAAGAAATTATGGTGCAGCAGAAAGAGTTCTCAGCGTGATAATAGCTAAGTCACTTACGTTCTCTGAATCCCAACTTCCCTCACTTGAAATGGGCATAACAGCAACAATGATGATGGTGGTGGTGATGACATTACTGTTTGTCCTATCTACTTACCTCCTCCTTGAGTCTTTGGAGAGGAAGTCTTTGTAAACCAAAGTACCACATATATGTGGATTGCAAATCTTTTCTGTATTGGATAAAGCTAAGAAGAAAATTCTATTTTTTGGCTTGTGCTCTGAGTGTGAGTCATAGACCAAATAGTAACCAAGTTTTGCTGCTGAGGGAGTATCAGAATAATCTATGAAAAAATAAGTAGCACTGATTTTCCAACTGGCCATGGTGGCAGTGAGTGCAGGTTAGATATTTCACTCTCTTAAGCTCCTCCCCACCCCCACCCCCCAGCAAAGAAGGCAGGCATATTGTGTATAAAGACATGGACCTAAGACTCAATTTTTAGTTATTAGTCATATGGGTAGCTACTGCATCTCTTGAAGCAGCAGGTCTTGTTGATAGAACATAGGACTTGAGGTCAGAAGTCCTTCCTCAGTCCCTAACTAGGTATGTGATAGCAGATGTCACTTAAATTCTCCCAGGCTTGATTTCCTTCTGTAAAATGAAGTTGTTTTGCGTATCAGGTTAGATAACATGCAAAATGACTTGCAAGGTACTATGTAAGTGTAAACTATTATTATTATTGAGCAAACAGTTTAAAACAACTGAAGGAAATGTTGCCAGTTAGGATCATATATTATATATTTCTATACTGTACACTTATGTACGATTATATGTGTCCATATCTTTATTAGTGTGGGAAGTTCCCATATATTAACTCCCTTCATCAATACAGACCCATAATTTATCCATAAGTTACAGTCTTAGCCAGTTGCCTGTGGAACTGAGAGGTTAAGTGACTTTGACCGTTCTGAAACTACTGGTATGTGTCAGAGGATGATTTGAACCCACCCAGGTCTTCCTGACTCTAAGACTAATCCCCCATCCACTATGCTGGGTCCCAAGAATATACATCATCATTGCTATTATTGTTATTAAAATCAGCCCTATAATGAGTGAAAGACCTTGAACATACATGATTCCTTCCTGGAAAATAAAAATTCTCTTTAGAAATGCTAATTAGTCTCCAACAAATATTTGCTTGATTTTTATGTTGCTGCCTGAGTTATTGGTTGTTTTTACCTGTGAAGCCCCTTGTAGCTGCAATAAGACCTGGGAATAATTTTTATTAGTGATTCTTCTTACCTTCTTCAGACTTGAATGACATGAATGATGACGTTTTTCGTTCTGGACTTTTCAATTGTACACCAGTATTTTTCACTGGAGAGAAAGAGAAAGAGGACGAAGGCAAGGCCTTGAAAGTTGAAGTGGCTGAGAGAGGAGATTGTAAAGGAATGATTTCATCATGCTTCAGACATTCTGACTCCTGAGTTTTTTCGTTTGGGAGTCCTTCTGTTTCTTTTGTCACTAAGATTTCAGGAAGCAACTTTTTAGGTTCTTGGTCTATGTACTTTTCTTTTGAAGGGCTTAGAGAACCAAATGAGAGTCCATAAGAGGAAGAGTTTGCATTAAGTGGTAGGGACTGCTCTTCCTCAGACATGTTGGCAAATCAGTACACAAACAGAAATCTTCAGTCACTGGAGAGCCCATCTATCATCATGGTCACTGAAAAAGAAAGGAAAAACAAAGTCACATTCATCATTGACCAGAAAACTGTGTATGGCTTTAGATTTATTTATTTATCTGATTTTTATTTCTTTTATTTTTAACTTATGGAATAAACAAGCATTTCCATAATATAGCATAATAAAAATTATTGTAAATAAAACTGTAAATCTATTATGTATAACTTGCTATTTCTTTTAAATACATAATAAAGTTATCATGTAAATTTCTTTTTTTCCTTTTCTTCTTCCCTCCTCCCCCCAGAGGTGGCTACTATTAAACATAAATATGTGTATGTATGTATGTATGTATATATATATATATATATATATACATATACACACATTTATTTACATATATATATGTAAACTCATTCCACATATACTTTATCTATCTATCTATGTATCATACTTCTAACTATCTCTGGATGCAGATAATGTCTTCCTTCATATGTCTTTGTGTTAATTTGTCTATTCATAATAGTCAAAATGACTTATTTGCTCAAAGTTGTTTTTGAAACAACATTGCTGTTACTGTACACAATGTTCTCTTGGTTCTGTTCATTTCTTTCTTTGTTATTTAGTGCAAGGATATCTATGTTTTTTAAAGATCATCAAGCTCATCATTTCTTATAGCACAGTAGTATTCCTTCACAATCATACCACAACTTGTTCAGCTATCCCCCAATTGATGGGCATCTCTACAATTTCCAGTTTTTTGCCACCACAAAGAGAGCTGCTATAGGTATTTTAGAACATATGGGTTCTTTTCCTTTTTTTCATTAATCATCTTTGGAATAGACCTAGTAACGGTATTGCTGGATCAAAGGGTACAGAAAGTTTAAAAACTCTCTGGGCCTAATTCCAGATTGCTCTCCAAAATGATTGGATCACTTCACAGTTCCACCAACAATGAATTAGTGTCCTAATTTTCCCACATCTCTTACAATATTTGTAGCTTTCCCCTTCAATCATTTTTGCCAATCTGATAATGTAAAATATCTCAAGGTAGTTTTAATCTGCATTTCTCTAATCAATAATGATTTAGAACAGTTTTTCATATGACTATAAATTGTTTCGATTTATTCCTTGGAAAACTGCCTGTTCATATCCTTTGACTATTTATCAATTGGGGAATGACTCATATTCTTACAGATTTTACAAAACTCTTTTTATGTTTGAGATATGAGACTTTTACCTGAGAAACTGTCTATAGCACCCCCCCTCCAATTTTCTACTTTCCTCCTGATCTTGGCTACATTTGTTTTATTTGTACAAAACCCTTTTAATTTAATGTAATCAAAATTATCCATTTTATACTTCACTCTGCTCTGTATCTCTTGTTTATTTATAACTTGCTCAACTATCCATGAGTCTGATAAATAATATGTTTCATGTTCTTCAAATTTTCTTGTAATATCTGTCTTTATATCTAGGTTATGTATTCATTTTGACCTCATCTTGGTAAATGGTATAAGAGATTGGTCTATGCCCAGTTTCTGCCATACTGCTTTCCAGTTTTCCCAACAATTTTTACCAAATAATGAATTCTTATTTCAAAATCTTAAGTCTTTACACTTGTCAAATACATGGTTATTCTATTTATTTGCTGCTGTAAATCATATGTCTACTCTGCTCCATTTATCTACCTTTCTATTTGTTTTTATTCATTCAGTAAGAATTTGAGGGCTTCAGGTATGTTCAGGGCACTAGCAAAGAGCTCTAGGGAGGCACCAATGAAATAAAGTACAACATCCCAGCCCCCCACCCCCACCCCACCACCCCATTCCAACATAAGAAATCACCTGAAAGATGATATATTCTTAAGTACATGAAACGTTGCTGCTCAGTCTAACTCTAAGTGAAGCAAGTGATACAGAGCAGATGAAGAGTGGTAGCTTACGGCACAGGGGAAGAGGCTGAGAAGCTGATCAATCTTAGAGCTGTAATAGAGAACATCAATATTTTTGCAGCTAAGGAAACAGTCCTAGAGAGCTTGAGTCTCAATTGAATTCCTCTTAGTCTTTCCCTATATCCCTTAAAGACCTATTCATTTCTACTAAGGGACTCATAGGGGCAATTAGTTCACAGAGTACGGGCCTGGAGTCAGGAAGACTCATCTTTCTGAGTTCAAATGTTACCTTGGACATTTGCTGGCTCTGTGACCCTGGGCAAGTCACTTAGCCTTGTCTACCTCAGTTTCCTCATCTGTAAAATGAGCTGGAGAAGGAAATGGCAAACTACTCCAGTATCTAGGCTAAGAAAACCCCAAACGGTGTCACAAAGAGTTGGACACGACTGAAAAATGATTAAACAACAACAACAACATGACTTAGAAGAGATATTTGAAGTGCTCAAAAGCAGCAGTTCTCAAAAGTGTGGTCCATGGAACTCTGGAGGTCCCCAAAACCCTTTTGGAGCTTCATGAAGTCAAGACTATTTTCATAATAATACTAAGAGTTTATTTGCTTACTAAAAATACTTCCTCTTTTTCCAACTACACATATCTGTATGGAGTCAAATTTTCTTCATGTATTTCAACCAAAATGACATCACAAGACGCAGAATGCAGAAGCAGATATGAGAAATGCATTGTCTTCTCCTTAGTTAGATACTAAAGAGATTTGCAAAAATATATAAAATAGTGCTACTCTTCTCACTAACTATGTTGATTTGGAAAATAGTTATTTTTATAAAAATATGTGATTTGTGATGACATTTAATGGGTTTATTATTATTATTATTTTAAAATAAGTTAACAAGTACATATTTAAAAAATTAAGTTTTAATTTCTAAAAGGGTAAAAATCATAAATTATGACCCAGAAGGTTTTTTTTTGGGGGGGGAGGGAAAGATAATTTCAGTTTTGGACATGTTGAGCTTGAGAAGTCTATTAGCATACAGTTCAAAATGTCCAAGAACCCATTTGTAATGTAGGGCTGGAGCTCAGGACAGTTTAAGAATTGGATATATAGATGTGGGGACCACCTGCAAAGAAATACTATTTAAACTTATGAAAAGTGATGAGATCACCAAATAATGATGAAGATAATAAAAAGAGGGTTCAGGACACATCCTTGAAGTATACCAACAGTTAGAGGGCATAGCATGAGTAATCTGAGGTCAAGTGGCACAGTGGATAGAGTGCTAGGCCTGGAGTCAGGAAGACTCATTTTCCTAAGTTCAAATCTGGCCTCAGAAACTTACTAGGTGAGTGATCTTGGGCAAGTCACTTAACCCTATTTGCCTCAATTTTCTCATCTGTAAAATGAGCTGGAGAAGGAAATGGCAAACCACTCCAGTACCTTTGCCAAGAAAACCCAAATGGGGTCATGAAAAGTCAGACATGGCTGAAAATGACTGAACAAATTAAAAGGCATATTTAAATAGATAACCATGCATATTACTGAGAAAAATGTGAAACTCTTCACCTTTTTCATATTAAGGACCTCTTTGGCAGCCTATAGATCCATTCTCAGAATAATGTTTTTAAATGCAAACAATAAAATGCATAAGACTATAAATAAAGGAAATTTTAAAATTATTTTGAAATACAGTCTTCAAATATATATATATTTTTAAAGTTTGTGGAACCCAGGTAAAGAAACTTTGTCTTAGAGGCTTTACCGACTCTGACAGTCTTGCATCTGGAGATAGCTCGTTCTTGTGGTTCTCATCCCTTTCTCCCAACCTCCTATTTATATCATCTACCTACCCTCCCTATTTTATCTCTAGGAATAAGAATGCAAATGAGATAATAAACTCCTAAAGTATCTTCTACCAATTTTACAGATGAGTCAACGGAGGCTGTGAGACGTTATGCAATTTGCTGGCAGAGCTGGGAAGTGCCTAAGGAGAGTTTTTCACTCAGGTCTTCTGGGCCCCATGTCTAGTATTTTTTAACCCACTGTACCACCTAGTTGCTAAGTAGGCATAAGAAGGGGATTTGTCAGCAAAAATTTTCTTCAAATCCTATATGTTATGGAGCAGCATTCATCTTGGTTTTAACTCATGCTGTCATCCCCTGAGGAGCACAGAAGCCCTTTATACAAACTCAATTAGTAATAATGACCAAGTAGCCATTTGACTGAGTTCTACTGTCATTTCCAAAAATATCTGCAGGAAAATAGAGGACTCATGAGTCCACTTGGTACTGTGTGACCTTGGACAAGTCATTTAATTTCTCTGAGGCTCTGTTTTCTTCTGTGTAATATGAGGAAGTTGGACCAAATGAGCTTTCCTTTGTCATAAGTAAGTCCAAGTCTATTAGTACCCAGAGGACTTGATTGCCTACATGGCACCAAGATTTATCTTATGCTAAGAAAAAAGTTCTCCCATATTAACCTGCCAAGTTTCCTGAAAAATCTCAGTAATCTAGTCACTACTTTGGATGGAGGTACTGTGTCTAGAAGACTTTTATTAATGCCATTCTCCCCCCCCCCAACTCCCCATATTCCCTTCTGTTGCACTTGTGGCTAGCAGGAGTGAAAAGTTCCTAGCTGGACAGTGAGGCTATCCACTGAGCAATGGGAGAGTGGCCAGCAGGCTGTTCTAGACCCCTGACAGGGGCATTAGAGCAAAGCCACTTCATCTAATGCATGTTTACATATCAAAGATCTTTCACTCTTCATATTTTTAGTTGCTCAAGATGAAAGATGGAGATCAGCTTGTCTCCTCGATGGCCTGGAACTATTTATCAGCGGCAGGCTGTGTGCAAGAGTGTTTTCCAGCAAGATTGCTTTTATCTTTTTGGGTCAGGCCACTCAAATACAGAGCACTCATGCAGCATTAAAAATTTTAAAGGTTCAAAAATCCACGGCAGAGGGCTTGCTTATCAGTTGCTCCAGCATCTAGAAATCTTTTTTTTTTTTTGGCGTGGAAGCTAGGGAGCAAAATCTATTCATAAAAACGGCAATAAGCTGCCCTCAGATATCACAAAGCCTGCAAGAAAACCCATCTTCTCAGATGTCTATATACAGATGCACAAAATATAGGTAATGA